CCCCCCCCCCAAAAAAATAAATAAATTTAAGTTTGTTTTTAAAAAATATTTTCAATTTCAAAAATTATTTTCTACTCTAGTAAAAATAAAAGATATTTCTCAAAAATATTTTTCATTCATAAATCAAACACTAAAAAAAAATTCCGAATTTTTTTTCTACTCACCAACCAAACATGAGAAAATAAGTCAAAAATCAACTTGTTTTCCAGGAAAACATTTTCTAGGAAAACATTTTCCTTCATACCAAACACACCCATACTGGGCACAAAATAGAGTTGGGCCATTATATTAGTTTTGGGCCGGTTTAAGAGGAAGCCCACTTTTAGAAATTTGAACCTTTTAATATGGCAAGATATAATGATAACATTTTTTGATATATAGATTGTAGATGTGATTTTGTATCAATGTATTTGGAAAAATATTTAAGCTACATGCTAGCACTCTGATTGGATGGTTGTTACATATTGCTATCGTATTATATTATATCGTTATATCATACTTTAATATTTTGATGAATACAACGTTAGATAGATTATTATATCAGTTTATATCGCTAAACAATATCACATATCAGTAATTTGAAAATAAACGTACAAGAAAAAGAATATGATATAGAGTAGAACTACGATAAAAATTAAAGGTATGATAATTTTTTTTTATAATTATTAGATTATAATTACTCCTCTGTCCCATTTATGTGACACTTTTCATTCTTTGAGAGTCAAACAATTTAAGTTTGATCGGAAATTTGCGCATGAAATTTTCAATTTTTTTGAAATGAAAATTTATATATATTTATAAACTACGTAAAAGTACTATAAGTCACAATAATTGACAATTTAAAATATTTAAAAAATAAATGAAAATTTTATGGTCAAAGATAGACTTGTTTAAATTTCGAAATCTAAAAACACATAAATTGAGACGGAAAGAATAGTAAACACAAAATAAAGGAGAAAAGGTAATAATCGATCACACACAATTTGTTAATCGTTATATAAAATGAAACTTTTTATTGTTACCATAGTTAACAACCATCCAAAACCAGTTGTATAGTCTAAAATTTTTGTTATATTTTGAAGAATGATTACACAAAATAGCTTTAATATCAAAATTCAATATAAATAATGTATTAACACACATGTCATGATGGACCTGAAAACATAAATTAAAGGGAATTTAATTTTGTGAGATGTCCTAACAAAGGGTCCAAAAATAACAAATATTGCCATGTTTGTTTCTTTTAAGTTTTGCAAAAATGATTTTCCAAAATTAGAAACTTGTTTCTTTGGAATATAAAAAGATAAGAATGGTTTTAGAATAATTCAACTAAGAGTCCAAAACATTTCAAAAACTCAGAAAAAAACAAACTTTTGTTTTTAATCTTTTGGATTAAACCAAAACAAATAATCCACAATATATCTTTTGAATATATGATTACTTTGACCTTTCTCTGTTTAGAAAATAATTTATAGATTTTTTCTTCCTCATATTATATTAAGATTCTTCCAAATATTCTTTCATTTCATGCTCTTTTATTTTCAAAAAGAAAAATTGTTATTTACCTTTAATACTTTTTTTCCCCTTATACTGTGTTAGTGCAATACACGTTATTAAATAATCATGTGAATTTCCTTTCAACTTATAATATGTTGATATTTGATTTTTATAGTGAGACTTGACTAATACGAATTCATACCGCATAAAATTCATTCTAGAAAAAACACTTCCTAACTCAAATTTTTTATACTCAAAACTTGAATTCAAAATCTATCTTGCACTGGTTGGTATTATTAATATCTTTTTAGCTTTAAAAAAAAACATTTGTTCCACGTGCTTTAATCATGTAGACTTAAAAGGAACTGTAAATGGCTCCACTTCATTAAAAAAATTATTTTCACTTTTGTCATCACTTTCTAGTATATAAAAAGAAAAAAGAAAAAATATATATAGAGAGAGAGAGCTTTTAATACTAATTTTTATTTCTTAAATTATTTTTTAAGTTTTAAGACTGAACATTATGATAAAATATTCATATCAATAATTATTTCTTAAGAAATCGTGAAAAAAAAAAAAAAGTAAAAATGAACGACAAAATTATTTACCCCACGCATGTTTTGAAAGGATCAGAATCCTTTATAACTTTAATTTGTGGCCTGTCGTACCAATGTTTACATAATTGATTTAGTAGGTTAAAAGAAGCCTACCACTTTTTCCCAGGGGCGTATGTACATGAAGGGGAGGGGGTTCACATGCACCCATCCTCCCCTTCCTAACCCCTATATAATACTACTATTTTTCTAATTATCTTTTTAAATTTGTATTGGTGAACCCAAGGTTAAAAAGAATACTCTAGTATATTGATAAGTAAGTACAAATAGGGGGTGCATAACTTATAGATTTGTGGTTCAAATTTTTCTATCCACATTAATATTTTTAATTTTTAATTAATATAACAAAATGTGCCACTTTTCATAGATCTTTTTAATAATTTATAAATAAAAAGAGGTTCAAATACCCATATTTTTAGGTTGCATTAGCTATGTCTAGACCTTAAGCTAGAAGTGTCAATAAAGTCAAATTATATTTTTTACTTTCTTTTTCTCCTTTCCTTCTTTATTTAGACGTTTTTCTTATTTATTTATTTTAACTTTTTCTTTTGACTTTTCAAAGCCCTAAACTAAAAGGTAAAAAGGAGTAAAGACATCATATTGTTCTTCTTTTGGCTTCATTCCACATTTCCACTTTGTTGTTCATGGTGAAGTAGAAGTGAGATTTGAGAACAAGTAACAAGGTATGTTATCTAAAAAATAAAATTATTTATTAATGTACTTCATTTGTTTTATATGTTTTTCTTGATTTATGAAGTGGTTCCATTATTTGATTGCTTGAATATTTAAATTTATAAAAATTTCTTGATTTCTTAATAGTTATCTAATAATTGTGATTCTTTTATTAGTAAACTTGTTATTTGTGCTAATATTTTTTTAAAATTATTTTGTTTTTATAAGATTGAATAGAAGTGTGAATATTTAATTTTGTAGGTAAAATAATTCTTACAATCAATTCATCAAATCACAAATGGATAAGTTTCTCATCAAGTTACCAAAGCCAAAAGATGGCCAACCAAGTTCTAGCTCTAATCAACCATTTGTGAGTTCACAAGTTGCTCCGGAAGTTCAAAGACATACAAATTCTTTTCCACTTTCAAATATGGATAGTATGCTTGATTTTAAATCTCTTGAAGCAGATCCCAAAGATCGAATGCCTATTTCATCTTATAGTCCTAATATTCGAGATGCGGTAAGGAGGTATTACATTCAAAAAAAGCCATGTCAACCTGTTGATCATATCTTCCCTAAAACTAAGTTTGTAGATAAAATGCGTCAATTTCGACCAACTTGGTTTAAGAGAAGATCTCAATGGTTGGAATATAGCATTAAAGCAGATGCGGCATTTTGTTTGTGTTGTTATTTGTTCAAGAATGAACTTGAAAGTCGTGGAAATGCCGGAGATTCATTTACAAGAGATGGTTTTAGGTGTTGGAACAAAGCTTTAGAAAGATTCAAAAAACATGTTGGTAAGGTAAATAGTATCCATCATAAATGTTTCAATAGGATGCAAGATTTGAAAAACCAACGGCAATCGATCCAATCTTCTTTTGACAAGCAAAGTGAAAAGGAAGAATTGATTATCGGATGCGTTTAAATGCCTCAATTGATGTAGCAAGATTTCTCTTGACATCGGGATTTCCATTTCGTGGACATGATGAAAGTGAAGGTTCCAAATATAAGGGTGCTTTTCTTGAACTTTTGAAATGGTATGGGGATAGAAGTTTTGATGTGGGAAGAGTAATATTAGGTAATGCTCCACAAAATGATATGATGATTTGTCCGACAATTCAAAAAGATATTGTGGAGGCTTGTGCTAAAGAAACAACTAAGGCTATCATTGAAGACTTGGACGGTGATTATTTTGGAATATTAGTTGATGAATCAAAGGATGTTTCTCATAAGGAGCAAATGGCTCTAATTTTGAGATATGTCAACAAAAGTGGAATGGTGATAGAGCGATTCTTGGGTATTGTCCACGTAAATGATACATCTTCTCAATCATTAAAAAAGGCAATTTATTCTTTGCTTTTGGATCACTCATTATGTACATCCAAAATACGTGGTCAAGGTTATGATGGGGCTAGTAATATGCAAGGGGAAATAAATGGTCTCAAGTCTTTGATTTTACAAGATACGTCATCTGCATATTCTATTCACTGTTTTGCTCACCAATTGCAATTGGCACTTGTAGGTCTTTCCAAAAAGAATTCGGATGTGGATAATTTTTTTTATGTTCTCACTAATATTTTGAATACTATTGGAGCTTCATTTAAACGCAGAGATTCACTTCGACAACATCAAGAAGATAAGTTGGAAGAGTTGCTTAAATTTGGAGAAGTTCATACAGGGCAAGGTTTGAATCAAGAACGTGGCCTCCAACGACCGGGTGATACCCGTTGGGGGTCTCATTTTAAAACCTTGGACAATTTCCTGATTCTTTTTTCTTCAATTGTTAATGTGCTTAAGGATATGAAACGTGATTGTCCATATCATCTTGATAGATTTACGGCGGAAAATCTTTTGAGCAAGATTCATGAATTTGAATTTGTCTTTATGTTGCACTTGATGTTTAAGGTGTTGCTATTGACGAATGAGTTGAATAAAGTTTTACAAAAGAAAGATCAAGATATCGTTAATGCTATGGGATTGCTTGACCTTTCAAAGAAACGATTGCAAATGATGAGAGAGGATGAATGGGACTCTATGATGGATGAGGTTAGCTTATTTTGTGGTAAACATGAAATTTCAATTCCCAAAATGAATGAAGACTACTCTAATGGGAAGTCGAAGCGTAAGAGGTCCAATATTTCATATTTGCATCACTTTCGTGTGGAAGTATTTTATGCCGTCATTGATTTGGCACTTCAAGAACTCAATAATCGTTTTGATGTGGTGACTAGTGACTTGCTCCTCGGTATGGCTAGTTTGAGTCCGGTTGATTCATTTGCTAATTTTCACAAGGATAGGATAATGAAACTAGCCGAGTACTACCCAAGTGAGTTTGGTGATAAAGAGCTTCGGGAACTCAATTTTCAACTTGATGATTTTATTGTCTATGCTCAAAAGTGTGATAGCAAGTTTCTCAACTTGAAGGGAATCAAGGATCTTGCAAAAGTGATGATAGAGACAAAACTAGATCAAACTTGGTCACTTGTGTATCTACTTGTGAAGCTAACTTTGATTATTCATGTTGCTACCGCAAGCGTGGAAAGAGCATTCTCATCAATGAAGTACATAAAGAATGATTTGCGTAATAGGATGGATGAAGATCTTTTGAATGGTTGTTTAGTTTGCTAAATAGAGCGTAGTATATTTAAAAATGTAAGTAATGATGTCATTATTGACCGTTTTCAAAATATGAAAACTCGTCGAGGACAATTGTAAGTGAATGATGGATGAAGATCTTTTGAATGGTTGTTTAGTTTGCTAAATAGAGCGTAGTATATTTAAAAATGTAAGTAATGATGTCATTATTGACCGTTTTCAAAATATGAAAACTCGTCGAGGACAATTGTAAGTGAATGATGGATGAAGATCTTTTGAATGGTTGTTTAGTTTGCTAAATAGAGCGTAGTATATTTAAAAATGTAAGTAATGATGTCATTATTGACCGTTTTCAAAATATGAAAACTCGTCGAGGACAATTGTAAGTGAATGATGGATGAAGATCTTTTGAATGGTTGTTTAGTTTGCTAAATAGAGCGTAGTATATTTAAAAATGTAAGTAATGATGTCATTATTGGCCGTTTTCAAAATATGAAAACTCGTCGAGGACAATTGTAAGTGAATGATGGATGAAGATCTTTTGAATGGTTGTTTAGTTTGCTAAATAGAGCGTAGTATATTTTAAAATGTAAGTAATGATGCCATTATTGAAATAATCGTTTTGATGTGGTGACTAGTGACTTGCTCCTCGGTATGGCTAGTTTGAGTCCGGTTGATTCATTTGCTAATTTTCACAAGGATAGGATAATGAAACTAGCCGAGTACTACCCAAGTGAGTTTGGTGATAAAGAGCTTCGGGAACTCAATTTTCAACTTGATGATTTTATTGTCTATGCTCAAAAGTGTGATAGCAAGTTTCTCAACTTGAAGGGAATCAAGGATCTTGCAAAAGTGATGATAGAGACAAAACTAGATCAAACTTGGTCACTTGTGTATCTACTTGTGAAGCTAACTTTGATTATTCCTGTTGCTACCGCAAGCGTGGAAAGAGCATTCTCATCAATGAAGTACATAAAGAATGATTTGCGTAATAGGATGGATGAAGATCTTTTGAATGGTTGTTTAGTTTGCTATATAGAGCGTAGTATATTTAAAAATGTAAGTAATGATGTCATTATTGGCCGTTTTCAAAATATGAAAACTCGTCGAGGACAATTGTAAGTGAATGATGTTTTTTGCTAATATATTACTATATAAAGATTGCTACTACCTACTTGCTCGTCAACTTGTTCTCACCGTAAAATTTATATAATTGAATTAATTGTCTATTTTGAAAATAATAATGCCCCATGTTCTTGAGATCCTGGATACGCCTCTGCTTTTTCCTATTCCTTTTTTCAATTGATATTTATGGTCGTAATTCAATTTATAGTAATCAAAATATTCTGTTCATCCAGACCTAGTATAATGGATAAAGTTGTTTCTTCCTTAATTAAAAATTTCATATTCAAATCTTAGGTATAAAAAAAATTCTTAATAGGAATTGTTCTCTCTGAATAAAGACGTATGCGATATAAATTTAAAATAGTCAGGTTAAAAAAACACTAAAAAGGAAAACATATTTCCATTCACATTGCTTAGTAGGTGACAAAGCTATGGTTGATTATAGCTTGTTTGGCAGCATAAATAAAATAATATAATGGTGAAAAAGTTACTACAAGCCAAACTTCATAGGCAAAAGCTCTTTTTTATTATTATGTGTTTAATACTCATTATAAGGCTATGATTAATTCCACGTAATGTTAATTAAAATGGAAAACACGTTATATCGAAATATTTTATTTTTCATAGTTTAAATTTGAAATCTTTAATTTTAAAAAAAATTCAATGTATCCTGTGGCAGTTGTCATTTGGTTGAAAATAAGTTATCATAAGATTAACAATCTCGATATAAGTTATTTCATCATTTATATACAATAACTTATCTCATCACTATGATATAAATTAATGATAGGATAAATAATCTCATGAGACAACCTAATTAATACCTTCCATTAAACAAAGAACAAAATAATCCTATATTTTATTTTGAAATTATTATACTCAAACAACTTCTCAATTATACTTTCATTGGTCCTTTGGAATAAGAAAAAAGTCATCTATGAACACAATAATTACTTCATTGTCCTAAGAGTCTAGCCATGAAATTGACCAAATTTTGGATTATATTCTATCTGGTTAAATTAATCATTTATATTATGAAAAAGAAAAAGATTACCGTGTACATTTTTCAAACAACATGCATTTATTAAACCATGACAAAATCACCATCAAATAATTAAATAATGGTACATAGTTGCCAAAAAACAACTAAATACATCCAATAATATTATGGTCAATTTCATTTTATTAACCAAACAAATTACTCAACTACCTTGCTTGAATCGTTCCTTACGTGGTCATTTGATTCGTGGATTAAATTATTTGATAGCATAATCTCTGGATTAGTTTCTTCCACTTTTTCAGGTGATATCCATTGAAATATAATTTTAAAAAATTCAATACCTGTCATAATAAATATCTAAAACAAGTAAGTATATGTCAAAATCAAATGCTCTTTTTTAAAAACTTTGAAGTGATTTTTTATCATGTTAATTAATGTACGTTGCAAATTGGTTACATTCACTACACTAAAAAAGAAAACTTTGCAAATCATTCTATTATTATTATTAATGAATATATTCAATCAAAAGAAAACTTTGCAAATAATTCTATTACTACTATTAATTATTAATGAATATTCAATCAAGTAATTTTTTTTAGTAAAAATGTCTAAAATAAATCCCACCCAAACACCAACTTTACATTAATTTTAATTAAATTAAATAATTGGTGTAGGGACATAGCAAAACAATCACATGGGATCACATCCTGCAACGCGGAGATTCGGTAGTAGTTCCACCTCAATTCTATCCTTAAAAGTTTTGTATAAATTAATATAATAGAAATTACTCGTAAATTTATCTGATTTTGATTTGATATGAGATTACAAAAGTAACGAAAGACTTTTGAATTTTGTTATTCTAACTAAACTATGGATAAGGTATCGAATGTCCTTCATTGTTAAGGTTTTAAATATGTTACGTGGAAAGTTAAAATTCAAAATTGTCAAAAGACGAAAAGAGATAGTAATAGATTAGTACTAAAAAAATAAGTAAAACAAACAAATTAAAAAGGAGATAGTAATAGATTAGTACATTTTCATAATATATTAGGGATCGTTTGATACGAGAGACAAGAATTTACTAATTTAAAAAATGTAGTGTTATTTATATCGACATTTTCCCATAACCAAACAATCCCTAGGGATGATTGGGTACTTTAAAATCATTTTTAGGCTGAAGAAAATGCCCAACGAATGGAGGTGATCCCATTAATATACAAGGCCAAATGTGATATTTAGAAGTGCAACAATTATAGGGTTATCAAGTTGTTAAGTCATACCATAAAAGTTTGAGAGAGAGTGATGGAGATGAGGATCAATGTGTCTATTTTCGAGAATCAGTTCAGATTCATGTCGAGGTGCTACTACGAAGAAGTCATTCATCTCGTAAGGAGACTTGTAGAACAATATATAGAGAGAAAGAGGGACTTACATATGGTGTTCATCAATCTAGAAAAGGCAGACGATAAAAATTCAAGGTAGGTTCTACGTCACTCTATGCTAGTAGGCTAGAGATGTACCTATGGAGTACACTAGGACGCTCAAGGACATGTATGATGGAGCCCTCAACCAAGACCAGGATAAAGATAGTGGGAGCAGACTTAGATTGCTTCCTAGTGATGGAGTTACACCAGGAGTCTGCTCTTAGTCCATTTTTATTTGCCTCGCTAATGTATGATTAACACGACTAATACAAGGTGAGGTTCCATAATGCAGGTTATTTGTGGATATGATTTCAATTGACGAGACTCAACTAAATTAACGGGAGGTTTGGTGACAATCCCCGGAGTCTATCAAGTTCAAATTGAGTAGGACCAAGACAGACTTCACGTGGAGCAATTTAAGTGACATAAACACATGAGGTTAACAAGGTGAGGCTTAATACAAGTCATCCAAAGAGAAAGCATTTCAAGTAACTTGGGTCTATTACTCAAGAAAATGGGAAGACTAATAGGGATGTCACTCACGTATTGGTGCAGGGTGAATGAAGTAAAGGATCACATCTAAAGTCTTGTATGATTAGAAGGTGCCACTAAAATTTGAAGACAATTTTTATAGGGTGATAGTTAGACCAACTATATTTTATGGACCAAGAAGACGGCAAAAATAAGTCGAGGGTCTATATGAAACAACCCGTCAACCTCTAAATAGGAGTAAGGTCTACATAAACTCTACTCTCCCAGACTTCACTTTGCGTCGGTATTGGTATTGGAGTTCACTATTCATTCGACAGGTAAAAGAAATATTACTTTCCGAATTCAAATGCTCGAAGAGGTTAAAGTAATTTTGCTACGAAGCGCTTTTCCTTTAGATGGGCCTTATCAAACGTGAATTTGAAATAAAACTTTTTAAATGTGAATTCAGATTAGTTAGATCCTTAAAACGAATAACAAACACCGAGCGAAACAAAAAAAAAAAAACCTAAAGAAAATATTAATATCTTCTATCCTCATGCCTTAATTATAGCCCCGCCACTCCGTCCCTCCCTCTGCTTCTTTGTCTCTATCCACCTTCTCAGCCTCTTCATCAGCTCACAAAAAATCTAGTGATCGATCATATCAAACAACACAAATAATGGTTTTTATCCTTTAAAGTTGATTCCTTTTCATGGAATTCCGTTGAGAGAAAAGGGAATTTATCATCTTTAGCTCTTTCTTGACGTGACACTAAGTTCTTCTCCCTCAAAAAGGCCAAACTTTTTCTCATCGTTTTCTTGATTCTTCTTCTTTCTTATCCACCCCCCCCCCCCCCCCA